ATTTCTGGGGTGATTAATTCTTCTGGACACTGGATTCTCACAACAAAAGGACAATCTTGAGTCTTGAAAGTGACATTTATAAAGGATATTGTACTTCAAGTATCTTGTATTAAGAAAAGAAAGAATGTTTAAAAGAATTCCAGTGTTAAATCAACAATAAAGAAATGTATACAAAATTTCTGTAACAATGGAAAGGAGCTGTCATATAGAACATCTCCAGCAAATACTTCTAGAGATTTATAAATGTCAAAGGGTAGATCTAAATACAATCTGTTTCTTCCATCCTCATAAGAAATGACTACAGCTGTTACAAACAGGAACAGCCTTTCAGGCAGGGCCTAGGTACAGAAAAAACTTTTTTAAAGCTTTGTCATCTTTTTACAAACGAATGCATCTTTGATCCTGTGAAATTTTTTTGACAACATATGGAATTTTTATTTGAAACGTCATACTATGATAAAAGAGTTGCTAGAGACAAATAAAGACAAAATTTTAAGTATCTAATACTCTATTAAGGAGACCTGATAGGCGTAGGAGCTGATAACAAGAAACAGCACAACATTCCTGGATTAAGTAAAATTCATCCTTTTAAAAATATTGTTTGTGTCCTAATTGTTAAATTAAGTATACACAATACATACGCTAACAATTGTTATATCACTGTTTGAACAGTTCACCTTAAACTATATATCATGGTAGTTTCTACTCAAACATAAAAACTAATCCTCCTGACAGGTTGAACTTCTGTCAACCAGTTTAGAACTAGATTACCTACAATATGCTGTATGTGTTTAATGCTACCAGCTGTGGTCAAGTTGACTGCCTTTCAATGAACTCTGTAAAGTACAACATTCACAAAAGAGTGACACACCTTCCATGGGCACAAAGACTACTACTAAAACAGAAATTGTGTATATAAGTATATGTAGCAAAGTTCTCAATCAGAGGAGATGACATACTTGTATACTGAGTATTTCTAGCTGTGTATTACAACAGAAGAAAAGATTCTCTATTGTATAGCAAAGAACAAGAAAAAACAACGTCTAGCTGACTGCCCTGATAGGGATCGAACCCAGATCTCCTGCTTGATCATCTACAACTTTAACTAGAGAACCAAAGAAGTATGCTCTGTCAGCTGAGTGACAGAGACCATATTTAAACTCTTCACATTAACCTGTTCCTTTTACACTACTTTCCCTCTTTTTTGTGAGTGAGACTCACGCCAATATTCTAAATACCATAACCTGTGGGATTATGTTGGGCACCATTGTGTGAAGTCAGGGGGAAGATACACATTCTTACAGAATGCCCTGATGGGAATAAAACCTAGGCCTCTTGCATTATAATATAAAGCCCTAGTACTGGGCCAAAGAAACATGCCCTATCAGCTGAGTAACAGGGACCATATTTAACACTTCAAACCAAACAATCCCTTAATTTTACATACATGGATTTATCCTACAAATATATAACTAAAATAAGGGAAATACTCAGTTAGCTAATTATATATATATGGGGGAAAATTCAGCTGTATTATGAAATGTATATGGTTCTACTTCAACAGGGGAGATAATTCAGTTGTATGATGAGATCTACAACTTGCATCAGTTGCAAAGTCTGTTATCCCCACATCAAACCACTAAAGTAACCTAATCTGTGATCCCCACATCAAACCAATAAAGTTACAAAGTCTGTGATCCCCACAACAAACCACTAAAGTTACAAAGTCTGTGATCCCCACAACAAACCACTAAAGTTACAAAGTCTGTGATCCCCACATCAAACCACTAAAGTTACAAAGTCTGTGATCCCCACATCAAACCACTAAAGTTACAAAGTCTGTGATCCCCACATCAAACCACTAAAGTTACAAAGTCTGTGATCCCCACATCAAACCACTAAAGTTACAAAGTCTGTGATCCCCACATCAAACCACTAAAGTTACAAAGTCTGTGATCCCCACATCAAACCACTAAAGTTACAAAGTCTGTGATCCCCACATCAAACCACTAAAGTTACCTAATCTGTGATCCCCACATCAAACCACTAAAGTTACAAAGTCTGTGATCCCCACATCCCACAAACCACTAAATCAAACCACATAAAGTTACTAAAGTCTGTGATCCCCACATCAAACCACTAAAGTTACCTAATCTGTGATCCCCACATCAAACCACTAAAGTTACAAAGTCTGTGATCCCCACATCAAACCACTAAAGTTACAAAGTCTGTGATCCCCACATCAAACCACTAAAGTTACAAAGTCTGTGATCCCCACATCAAACCACTAAAGTTACCAAATCTGTGATCCCCACATCAAACCACTAAAGTTACAAAGTCTGTGATCCCCACACATCCCCACATCAAACCACTAAAGTTACAAAGTCTGTGATCCCCACATCAAACCACTAAAGTTACAAAGTCTGTGATCCCCACATCAAACCACTAAAGTTACAAAGTCTGTGATCCCCACATCAAACCACTAAAGTTACTAAGTCTGTGATCCCCACATCAAACCACTAAAGTTACAAAGTCTGTGATCCCCACATCAAACCACTAAAGTTACAAAGTCTGTGATCCCCACATCAAACCACTAAAGTTACAAAGTCTGTGATCCCCACATCAAACCACTAAAGTTACAAAGTCTGTGATCCCCACATCAAACCACTAAAGTTACAAAGTCTGTGATCCCCACATCAAACCACTAAAGTTACAAAGTCTGTGATCCCCACATCAAACCACTAAAGTTACAAAGTCTGTGATCCCCACATCAAACCAATAAAGTAACCTAATCTGTGATCCCCACATCAAACCACTAAAGTTACAAAGTCTGTGATCCCCACATCAAACCACTAAAGTTACAAAGTCTGTGATCCCCACATCAAACCACTAAAGTTACTAAAGTTACAAAGTCTGTGATCCCCACATCAAACCACTAAAGTTACAAAGTCTGTGATCCCCACATCAAACCACTAAAGTTACAAAGTCTGTGATCCCCACATCAAACCACTAAAGTTACAAAGTCTGTGATCCCCACATCAAACCACTAAAGTTACAAAGTCTGTGATCCCCACATCAAACCACTAAAGTTACAAAGTCTGTGATCCCCACATCAAACCACTAAAGTTACAAAGTCTGTGATCCCCACATCAAACCACTAAAGTTACAAAGTCTGTGATCCCCACATCAAACCACTAAAGTTACAAAGTCTGTGATCCCCACATCAAACCACTAAAGTTACAAAGTCTGTGATCCCCACATCAAACCACTAAAGTTATCAAACCAAAGTTCTGTGATCCCCACATCAAACCACTAAAGTAACCTAATCTGTGATCCCCACATCAAACCACTAAAGTTACAAAGTCTGTGATCCCCACATCAAACCAATAAAGTTACAAAGTCTGTGATCCCCACATCAAACCACGAAAGTTACAAAGTCTGTGATCCTTGCATCAAACCACTAAAGTTACAAAGTCTGTGATCCCCACATCAAACCACTAAAGTTACAAAGTCTGTGATCCCCACATCAAACCAATAAAGTTACAAAGTCTGTGATCCCCACATCAAACCACTAAAGTCTGTGATCCCCACATCAAACCACTAAAGTTACAAAGTCTGTGATCCCCACATCAAACCACTAAAGTTACAAAGTCTGTGATCCCCACATCAAACCATTAAAGTTACAAAGTCTGTGATCCCCACATCAAACCACTAAAGTTACCTAATCTGTGATCCCCACATCAAACCACTAAAGTTACAAAGTCTGTGATCCCCACATCAAACCAATAAAGTTACAAAGTCTGTGATCCCCACATCAAACCACTAAAGTTACAAAGTCTGTGATCCCCACATCAAACCACTAAAGTTACAAAGTCTGTGATCCCCACATCAAACCACTAAAGTTACAAAGTCTGTGATCCCCACATCAAACCACTAAAGTTACCTAATCTGTGATCCCCACATCAAACCACTAAAGTTACCTAATCTGTGATCCCCACATCAAACCACTAAAGTTACAAAGTCTGTGATCCCCACATACCTAATCTGTGATCCCCACATCAAACCCTAAATCTGTGATCCCCACATCAAACCACTAAGTTACCTAATCTGTGATCCCCACATCAAACCACTAAAGTTACAAAGTCTGTGATCCCCACATCAAACCACTAAAGTTACCTAATCTGTGATCCCCACATCAAACCACTAAAGTTACAAAGTCTGTGATCCCCACATCAAACCACTAAAGTTACAAAGTCTGTGATCCCCACATCAAACCACTAAAGTTACCTAATCTGTGATCCCCACATCAAACCACTTAAGTTACCTAATCTGTGATCCCCACATCAAACCACTAAAGTTACAAAGTCTGTGATCCCCACATCAAACCACTAAAGTTACCTAATCTGTGATCCCCACATCAAACCACTAAAGTTACCTAATCTGTGATCCCCACATCAAACCACTAAAGTTACAAAGTCTGTGATCCCCACATCAAACCACTAAAGTTACCTAATCTGTGATCCCCACATCAAACCACTTAAGTTACCTAATCTGTGATCCCCACATCAAACCACTAAAGTTACAAAGTCTGTGATCCCCACAACAAACCACTAAAGCTACAAAGTCTGTGATCCCCACATCAAACCACTTAAGTTACCTAATCTGTGATCCCCACATCAAACCACTAAAGTTACAAAGTCTGTGATCCCCACATCAAACCACTAAAGTTACCTAATCTGTGATCCCCACATCAAACCACTAAAGTTACAAAGTCTGTGATCCCCACATCAAACCACTAAAGTTACAAAGTCTGTGATCCCCACATCAAACCACTTAAGTTACCTAATCTGTGATCCCCACATCAAACCACAAAAGTTACAAAGTCTGTGATCCTTGCATCAAGCCATGCACAAATAAAGTTACAAAGTCTGATACTACAATCTTGTTGTTTTTGCTCCGTTAAACATTCCTCAATCAGAAATAAAGAAATAAATACTTACCAGCTAAAGTATAGTCCATGTCAAAGCCATAGAATTTCACCCGATCCAGCATCAGGCTGCGGTTGACAAACACCCTAGAAAAAGGATTTTCAATAAAACCAATCCAGTTATTCAAACTCTGTCGACAGTCAGCCATCTTGTTTGACATTCAAATTTCTCCAAAATCAAATAAAAATTTTCTCTGGTCACACTTTTTGATGCCCATCAATCTAATTATATATATTCTAAATACATTAGATGTTTAAATGTTCTTTGCAAATTAAATAACCCTGAAACCCATCCCTAAACACCACATATGGATTTGTTTAGAACAAACAATGGAAGAGTCAACAATACCTAAACAGGGGTAACAGGATAAAAAAACTTATACCATATTAAACCCAGAGTAAAATAATTTGAAAATGATGGCATTTCTGTATGAATCAACACATCTGTTATAACACACCAGGTTGTTGATGTCAGGATCTGTCTAAATGTCTCAGAATTTCTGATGTAAGATTGATCCTCAGGCACGTTAACATTAGATCACGTCATTCCTATATCCAGTTTATACACTTGGTCATTTTATTGACCACAGCAGGTCACAGTCCCCCTGACCTACTCAGATTTACTAATGAACATTCCAAATTCAGACCACAGGATGAAAGTGAAAGTATCTGTCCATAATTTGTGAAGAACATTAAAAATCTTCCCATTTTTTGGTAGACATCTTTTGGTAGATTTTAGCAGACATCTTTTGGCAGACATCTTTTGGTAGACATCTTTTGGTAGATTTTAGCAGACATCTTTTGGTAGACATCTTGCTGACAAATTTGAATTCCTCAAATATCCAAATTCAGGTTGTTTTTTTTTTTCAAATTAGTCAAAATGTGTGTTGATATCAAATATTCACAAAAATAAATTTAAAGTTTAGTTTTCTACACAATTTGTGCAACTAGGATCCATACAGTCACCTTTCAGATATACTTTCATTTACAATCACAAAACTTAGCTGTATTTTGCAGCAAATCCAAAACAAGTCAAACCATTTAGTATATTAACAGATGCAGTAGTATGGATAACAGATTTCTTCTGACAATCCTATCTTAGAAATATGTTTTTACAGCTTGTATTTTTCTACATGAATAAACTAGATGTGTTTATGGAACACCATGCCTTGAGTTGCAACAAAACTTTGAAGTGGGACAAATATGAAAGGCATATATCATGATGCAATAGTTATGGCCGATGTTCAAATGTAGGTCAAAGGTCAAGGCCATAAGGTCAAAAGTTTAGTACTTCCAGAAAAATCTTGTCACAAGGAAAATACACACCAAATATGAAAGCTCCACCTCTTTTGTTGCAATGGTTATGGGCAAGGTTACAAACACACAGAAGGCACAAAAACAACATGCTCCTAATCTTTCGATCCAGAGGCATAAAAAAAGGAAGTGTTTACTGTATATTGACAGATAACCTGCGTTATGTGAATTTTGATTTTCACTTTTACAACAACAGATAGGGAGGAACATAAACACTAGTTACAAAAGATTTTGTACCACACAGGATTTTTAGCCAAATATTCCTTGATCAAATTACTGTAGCAGAGTAAACTTCGCAATATTCCCTAGAATCTTCTCTACAGAGATTATCATGAACAGTTTAATACTGTTCTTAAAGTTCTGCATTTCTCAATGTCATTGTCAGTGACCTCTAACTGTGAAACTAGACAGTTGTAAAGCTACACCAAAATATTCCTAGTGAATCAAGAGTTGTGGAGATATAGACATAAATCTTCCTAGAAAACCACTAAAGTAGAGTGTCAGAAAGTTTTCTAATACTATTCCAACACCAAGAAACAAATCAGAAACCCAGGAGAACTCTGTCCTCTTGTATCAATCCAATAATTACTCACAGTTGTAGGTTCCCTAATGGTAGTGTAATGTTTAAATCAGGTTTAAGCAGACGACCAAAAAAATATACATTCATGATAAACATCACCATATATACCAGATCTTGGTGCCCACCAATGCTAGACTTTTATTTGTTTTAAAATGTTGGGTATTTTCCCTTCTTTTCTCTTCTTTCCTCTGTTTTCGCTCTAAGTAATAGGAACTTTGAAAATTCCTCTTCAGAGGCTGCATAAACATCATTAACTGTCAAATCCAAGATGGCCACCAGTACAAAAATAAAAATCGCACAAATATAGACCAAGGGGAATTTTGAAATGGAGTCATCCAGGTTTTATCCATTCAAAGTCAAAATCAAAGATGGCTGCCTGTCAGTTGTCTTTCAAAAACCAATATAGCCACATGTCATCCAACTTTCCAATCAATCCCAAAATGGACTATGAACAACTAGGGACCAAGGCATTTGTATGAAATTTTAGATGATCCATTACACACTTCTCCATATCAAGCTTGATATCAAGCTGTGATGTCAAAATCCAAGATTGCTAAGTGTCAGCCATCTTGTTTGTCCATTCAGTCCTAAAATGGACTAAGCATAGCTAGAGAGAAAACCTACCTACAAAATTTGGATCCATCCAGTGCTTCTACAGATATATCAATAACAAGAATTGGTTATGGATGAACAAAAGGTACACCAGACAAAAAACTATTCAACCACGAGACAATGGACTAAAAACACTGGTATCATCATTTATATTGTACACAGGTAAGGATTAATGGTCAACATCATTAATAATGTGTATTTAAAACAAATATTATCTTTCAAGCTCTTTAAATCCAAACTTTATTAATGAACAAAATAGAATTTACTACACATGCAGAATCAGTTAAAAACACAATATATCTTCTTCAGTAATGATATATCTAATTACCTTTTGCCAGGTTTCCTCTTGTAAAGTTTATGTGGATTGTCAACTTCATCGCGTATCTCTGCAGCAGCCATGTCGTATCAGGGCTGAATATTTTCTGATTTACCTACATGTATGAAGAAGCAGATACAGCTATAAATATGATATAACTGATTAGATAATATAGTAAATTATTTCATTCCAATTCAATTCTGTATGAACTGATAAAAAAATGCATATCATTTCCTTTATTAGTCTAGAAGTCAGAAACTATACTCAATATTTCATAAATTTCAACACTAATACATTATAATGCAACATAGGGCATGGAGTTAGATATTGCTTGAAGCCCATGTTTTATCAGATTAATTTAAGTATGATAATCAGCATTTGATGGGCATTTTATTCTGCATGTACTGCAATTTTACTTATCCTCTATGGTTAATTTAATAATGTTTTAGTCATAATAAGCAAATTTACAGGTGAATAATTCGGTGATAATTTAAGCTTTTGAAGTTTTTGGTGTCTCTATGAATCATTAGGATTATAACTGCCTCATTTTGTTATCAGACACTCATTAAACTTCCCTAGACAAAATGTAGGCTGATTGGAAAATTAACATATAATCTTATATACATAGGCTTTATGTGAAATGTAGGCAGAATGGAAAATGAACATATAAACTTACATACACCGGCTTTATGTCAAATGTGGGCTGAATGGAAAATGAAAGTATAATCTTACATTACACAGGCTTTATGTCGAGGCAGGGTCATATATTCAATTTCCAGGAAGGAAGTTCTCTGGTTTTATGTATACACTGTACATGTAGTGTGGACTGGTACATGTAAAAAGCTGAAATTTGTGGCCACTGAGTGGTGAAAGCATGTTTCTCTTAGTACAAACATTCACATTGCACTTTAAACTCTTCACACTATTCAACCATAAGAAACAAGTTCAGCTTGTGTATAACTTGGACAAATTAATTTGAATGTAATCATATTTAAATTTTATTTTTCAATCTGTATGTTGTCATTAATTGAGGCCATGCACGTGGACATGTATATGATATGTGATGATGAGTAAGCTTTGCATTTGCTTTCCTAGATATACCATATAACACCCAATAATGTGCATCACGGAACAAAACGTCAGTTCATCCAGTACAAGTATGTGTATCCAGGTCTGATGCTGCTTCCGTCCGATTCACGGCACCAAACAGGTGCTCTCTACTTAGACTATATTATAGGCCTTCTCACTAGATAAAGTAATAATATGCACACAACAATGGGAGTTGGTATGACTGTCTAACATCTGTGTCAAATAAAACACACGTGTAAATACATGACATCGCATGCAATACTGGTTTGTTTACATTACTTCCTACACACGAGCTAGCCTACTATGTAAATAACCGGCGCGTGCACAATATCTAGGCCTCGTGAATCGTTTGTTTTAATCTCTAGAGAATATGTATATACCAAATCACTGTCCTACTGAAATTCAGGTATAATGTAGCTCTTAAACCTAAGGTTTCAACTTCAAATATACTCACACTCAATTTAGCTAAAGTATGACAACACTTCCTATTTTTCCGTATCTCCGGAACTAGAGAGTTCCAAAAAAGTTGGCATAGAGACTTTCTTGCAGACGAATTTTTCTTTCACGACCACATGGTGAGTTTGAGAAATTTCGCAATGCGTACGAAATTAGTCTTTATTAATTTAACTCTTAATGCAATATCAATAGAGCACTGTTTTGTCATTTGAAGACTTTCTTGTCCACAAGATAGAAAGATTCAATTTTCTTCAGTATTATATGCTCCCCAAATTTTTTCAAGAGACCATATAGTCGCCGCTTTGTCCGTCCGTGCGCCCGTCTTTCCGTCAATACTTTCGTGCCTGGAGCATAACTTTGCTCACAGTTAAGCAAGGATAATGAAGCTTGATGTATACATTGGTAATACTAAAACGATGTGCAGTGTATCAAATTTAGAGCCCTTGACAGCTTAATTACAAAGTTATTGCCCTTTGTTAAAATTTTGTGTCGAAGCATAATTTTGCCTGGATTTCAACTAGAACTATGAAACATGCTGTATACATCAGTCATACAAAAGCAATTTACAGTATACCAAAGTCTGGGCCCATAACCCTTCTATTTACTTTGTAAAAATTGTATATCCATAATACAAATTTGACTTAATTTAAATTATAACCATGAAACTTGGTGGATACATTGGACATACTACCAAATTCAGTGCCTCAACCCCTTAGTTACAAAACAATTAAATAAAGTCCTTTTCAGGGAGCATTCATAAGTTTACCAATACTCTTGTTTGATGAAAAAGAAGCCTTCCCCAGATCAACAACTGGCTGAACATTGTACCATTTGGGATTGAGGCTGGCCTTTTCATCTGTACTGCTTCAGTACCAGTATACCCACCAAAAGCTAGGTGTTTTTTTTTAAATTATTAGCTTTCACCATCCTTTGCTTCAATCAAGGTTTTAACTCTTTGTCATTAGAAAGGCCATGGACATCCTAGATGTCACAAGTACTTAAAATTTACTTGATAGGACCAAAATCTGCCAAAATGTAAATACCTAAAGACCTGTATATATTATATTGTATCACTGACCTTGGCAATGTTATATATGAAACGTTATCACATAATTGGCTTGTTATCCAGTGAATTCGCCCATTTAATTTTTTTTTTGCATATGTCACCAGTGTAATATTCCCTAAATCATTTTTCATTAGCTGCACCAGTCAGAAATTGATAGTGATGTCGTGATATGAAAAATGTTGTTATATCATGAATTGAAAATGATGCAACAAAATCGCTTCCCTGGTTAGAATATTCCTCTACATTTTGACTTTAATATCTGTCAAAATGTAATTTTTTTTTAATTTTGTGATTAAGAGTATCGGAAATTGTTTTCATTTCATATGGAATTTTTTTAGCACTTGTCTCAAAGTTTTAGTTTTCGTGAAATGTATGCCCTCAAACATTGCAAAAATTCTGTGACTTGTTTCTTAAAATCTCATATGAAATGAAAAATAATTATTACAGATCCTATATCTCCGATGCTCCACATTTGTATGAAACTATCCAAATTCATAATTCATAATTCCATGCTGATTGCCAGAGCAATGATAATCAATTTTTTTGTAAAAATTGGTGGTAGAATGTTCATTGTTTATCATAATTGTATGAAAATGTCACCTGGAAATCTGCACACATTACAGACAATGAAGGGCAATATCATTTTCGATACTCCAGGCTTACGATCAATTTCTGCACCCCTGGAACATGTCATGGAAATCGAAGGAACAAGCAAAATAATCTGATTGGTTCCAACAGATGCGTTTGACATACATCAAAGAATCAAACTAGTCTTTATGTCTTGTTCACAAGGTGTCGCTCATGGAACCTCCAATTTTGCCACGATATGTTCCAGGGATGCAGAGAGCGAAAGTGATCGTAACCTTTGGAGTATCGAGAATGGGGCAATATTCTTAAAAATGTTGAGTAAAAAGAGTTGTCTCTCATGAAAAATTCAACAAAATAAATGCATGTCATATAAAAAGAGATGCTTTCTCTTATATCATGATGATAATAAATCATGTCGTCTTACATCTACCTGAGGAAATTTTAAAGCCAACAAATGTTGGAACAAGTTTGAACCTGATTTGATATCTATATATAAAAGCAGTTTGAAAAACATTGTCACATTATTTCAGGGATATACATGTTCGTTGAAGGATTATCAAATGATAAACAGTGCTTCAGAATGGCAATAAGTTTTGTGTTACAAAAGTTAATGTTCCTTCTGTGGATGTTGAATATTAAAAGTTCTGTAATAACACTTGATTTAGATCACTGACATCAAACCTGAAGTTTCCTGTGTATTTTGGACTGATTTGTACATGCCTGAATAAGTTTTAACAGGTAAGATTGTTAAAGCTGGTTGGTTACTGGTGAATGATCTCTCTGCTGATGAACTTGACTATCCTCCTGAAGTGTTCTACAGATATCAATATTGGTCTTTTCTTATATTTTTTTTTTTTAATTTTATTTTAGTTCATCATTATTTCAGTGAATGATTGACTGCAGTTTTTGAAGGAATATTCAGACAAATAGTATATTGTCCTGGAAGTGCTGTATGTAAGCTGTGGATGTACCAAGAGTAGTCTATATTTCTGTATAAATATACAGATACCTGTTATCTGAACTTTTACTCCCCTTTGTTATTAACTCCGAGTTGCTGGACTTTGGAAAGGTTTAATTTCAAATAATATCAGTGATAGAGCCCTTTATCATTTAAAATGTTGAGAATAGGTAATTATAGTTTTCTGTTCTTATTATTTGTAATGACAGTGATGAATACGTTATGAAGACCAAACAACCAAGGTTAATAAGCTATTAAAGTACTGAATCAAGCATTCTGTCCTCTCTTGATACTTGGTTTTTATTTGACCTTACAGCAATTACAGAGCCATTCCCCTAAACTAAAACACCTTTTAACAGGCACAGTCTTTGGATCCAAATATCATTCTGAAATATCAGAACTCTGTCATTCTAGAAAGATGATAGTTTGTTAAATGTAATTGACAATTACTGTCACCCCTAGCACTACTAGGACCCTGTGTAATTAAAAGGGCTATCTTTGAAGTAAGATGGTCATGAAAGAACATTGTTTCCACACAGGAGTGGTTTCTTAAATTACAAATGTAGTGTCAGTGGTCTTTGTTGGGGAGATCAGTCAGTAAATTGTTGTCTATCTAGAAAAAATTTCTTTGAAAATTTATTTTTCGCAAAATGAACGATTAGAAAAGAGAACATTTTCAGTGACAATTGAAATAATTAAAGTATTGCAAGTTAGGCTTCTAGTATAATCTTTCATTTATAAGTATGTTCCATTCAGAAAAATTCAAAAACAAAAAGGACAGAGGGTGACAATTAATTTAGATGTAATCTTTTTACTTCGATGAACAAATCCTTCTCCACTAACTTAACTACAAAAGCCTTTTCTGTTATGTCTCTTCATAATGGTTATGCTCAATCAGCTTGTTTCTGTCAGTAGTTTTAATCAAATTTTTCGGAGTTGACAATATTCAAATTAGATGAATGTATCAAGTGACATTCATGTTTGTGTAACTGATGAAAGGGTTTAGGTTACAGACGAGCCTTCCCAAATCTAACCATACAAAGGCCTCCTAGTGGTTAAACACCGATTCCAATGGTACTGAGTTGAACTGAAACCGTTAAGTTAAATGATGTCTTGGACAGATCTATCAACAAGTCTTTTGTTTGCTTGATTTTTTTTTACAATTATATACATTTCAATCATTATTTTAGTTTTTTTTTCATGACATTTCTTTAAAAAAAAAATTTTGAAGTGGAAGCAGCAATCTTTTTTCTTCTGATTTTTTCTTTATTGTATAAATTAGATTTTTGTATTTTTGTCATTTTTTTCTCTCACAGGAAATGAATCGGTTTTAGATTTCTCGTTGATCTCGTTGATCTCGTTGTCCTTTGATTGTATGTTACAGTATGGACTTTCTTCATTAATGTTTGAGATATGAAACAAAATGATTTGGAAAAAATAATTTTTAGATGAATATTTTTGTATCATATTAAGAGAAAGACAATTGTTGTAATATCATTGCCAAATTATGGACCAAGTAATACCTGGTATATAGCACAACATTATTGACTTTTAAAATGCTTGTTTAAAATAACATAGGTTAGATATCAAGTTTAGTTACACTGTATAGTAACTGAAAACACAGGTATATTTTTTATTTGTGGGTCTATGCAATTACACAAAATGGGTGTTAATGATATTTCAGAATAAAGTGTATATATGTATACTGAGTGTTTGTACGGAAATGGATTAAGATTATGGTTGGATGTGTACTGGATAATAAAATAATAACTGAAATTTTTTGCTGCCACCGAAGAAACCAATATATCTGACGGATACAAAAATATATCCTGACAGAATTTCATAATCGTATATGTAAATGACATTTTAGTTTGAAATAAGCCATTCAGTACTTAAATCTTGTGCAAAATTTATAAAAAATCCCCTACCCCACCTACCCTGACCCCTTAATTTTTTGGAGTTTTTTTCTTTTCAGATTTTCCTCTAACAGCGAAGGTTAATTACCTCCCTCAGGTTTTAATTAAGGCTACTTAGGAGCTGACATCACCATAAGTAAGAACCACATGTCAGTGTAGAATGCCAAGAACGCAATGTTCATAGACTAACTTGTAAACAGCCAAAGAAATATTTACTACAGCTAGTTTATATGTATGTCAACGAGATGTTTGGTGGGGGCCAGGAATTTCTTGATTTACACATACAGCAAAACAGTTATCAGGTGATAACTGTTATGTATTGTTTTCTACTGCGTAGACAGTTGCTCTGACAGAATTGTCCAAAAGTTCACATTGCACCAGATTAACGAAAATATTGACAGACTATTGTGTTCTACTGATTACATCATGCGTTTCCTTCATCACTTAGCAAACTCATTCTATATCCATACTTCATATCCCAAGAGTTT